TTTTTTTTTTTTTTTTTTTTTTTGAGATAAGACGAAAGGAAATTCGAAAACGGTGAAATACAAATAACCTTTCGGTTAAAATATAATTCTTACAGCCAAGGCTACCACCATTACACCAAAAGCATATAAAAATTAAAATTTTCTTGCTACTCCTTCCGATTACTTTTCTTTCTAACTACTATTAACAATAACCGTGAAAAAAAAATAAAGATAAAGATAAGTATCTTTAGGACATTAAAAATTGCTGGGGAAGCTATAATATGTTGAGGTGAAAAAAGTGATGATGTTGAATTACAGTCATGACGACGATGGTAAAGAAACCACAGTGTAAACATGATATGTTAAGCTTTTACATTTGTATAAAATAAACAATTTTTTGCTGACAAAAGCATTTAAAAAACTTACAAGAAGAAAAAAAGACTGGAATAAAGGTCCAGTTCTGTTGTCTTAGAAAAAAAGTCAAAAAAAGCCAGTTTTGTTATCCTCTCAAAAGAAAAAATTTTCTCTTCATTCTTCCTTTCTTCCCCCGTCTTTGGTAAGGCAATCTTTATACTTATATTTAATAAATCGTGCTTAAGATAGTTTTTATTTTTTTGACAAAATTTTTTCACTGACTTTCAAGCTCCTGCTACACCAAACCGACAGAAAAAACCAGAGAAAAAAAATTTAGATAAGGTTTAATCAACAAAGAAAGCGATTTGCCCTGCATAGATTTTGCCGTACCAGTGGTACAAATTTTGTAACAATTTCATCGACAAACAGTCAACTAATATAACTAAGGAAAAGACTTAGCCCAAAGATTCATTAACCAAGCAAAAATATTGTTCCCACTTTTTTTTCGCACAACACTGCTTACCATGAACGTAGTTTAACACGACATACAACTTACACCCACCTCAATACTTGCCAAATTTTAACAGAAACAAAAAAAAAAATTGGTGAGGAAAAATATGTTCATAACAGAAAAAAGTGATACTTGATTGAAATATGATGTAAACAAATTGGCCTTTGGTTAGAGATATATCAATGATGTCCTTATCGCTTACTTAGAACATTTTATGAAACTTTTTTTCCTTTTCTAACTAAAGGACTCACACTGCAATTCTCTCTAACAAAAAAGAAAACTTTTTTTTTGCCATTTCTTTTCTACCTTTAAATTTTTGTTCTAAGATCAATAATAAATTTAATATGTCTAATATCTGATTGAATACCGTCGGGCTTCAGTGGTTGGATGAAAGCATTACCGCAAACAATTAGATATATGGCTGCTATTATTAACAAATGCAGTGCTGTAACTGTTCTTCAATAAAGCCAACCACTAAATTGTTTAAACAAAGCAACATATTGTCTAAAACTGCAGCTTAAATTCCAAGTTTTGGCACAGTATCTCTGTTTCGTACTGATTAAGTTCTATGACGTAAATGAAATCAGATTTTTAATTATAGTACAAAAAAAAAGAAACTTATTCAGAGTGAAAAAAAAAATTTGTTTAGTCTTGAAGCGCGTAAGAGTATATGGAACAATTTAAAATTTGGTTATCTGCAATGAGACGAGTTTTTACAAAAAGAAAAAAGTGATGGGATACTCAAAGCGTCTAACTAAACTTTACTCATAATTTGTAAAACTTGGAAAATATTTACTTCAAATACAGCAATTCTACAACGACATAAAATCAGAGGAGAAAAACGATAATATTATAGTAAATGGAATCAAAATGAAGATGGTAACCAACAATACATTAGTATTACATATCTAATGTGTACAATTTCCTTCTAATTGTAATTTTAGAAGGCAAAAGTTGCGATATTAATGCTATATTTCGTTTGCTCCCCATATTCAGTGAAAAGGTAAGAAAAACTCATAGCAACAGCAATAATAATGAAAATTCGTTGCTAAGTTTTCGGTTCTTCTATTTAATCCTATGAATAACATCAGAAACAAGAAAAAGTAGAAAAAAAAATGGAAAATATAAAACTAGTCGAAGATCATAGCTGGTAAGGTGTTATTGTGGAGATGTTAGCCGTCCACCGAAGAAAGTTATGAATGGTCATCTGTTTGACGCCCAATTAGTGATTTTTCCTTCTCACCATTCCCTCTTCTTTCTTCACCATCTCTTTTCCCTCCCATTCCTTCATATCCCTCCTTCTCCTCTCCGTTCCTTTGGTTCTGCTTCCCACCTCATCTTTGTCTGTTTCTTGCTCGGCGCAAAAGACGGTTGAAAAAAAAGCCGAAAATTACGACGGGTA